CCAATGAAAAATTTAAAGTTGGGGTTAGGTTGTAGTTTAGCCATTGCTTTGTAGCTTAGATTGCTTGCTTGTTTGCTCGTCTGCTTGTAGGTAAATCTTTCTGCATACCAATGTAGAAATACAATCATCGAGTGTCTACCTCCTCGTGGCACCGATGGATATGTTAATATTGCTGCTCTATGAACAGCCCTATTAACTAACTAAATGGCACTCCATCAATAACCCAAGCTAAGGTGTAAGGCAACATGTTGAAGGCTGAATGGCCGCTGGGAAAGCAGTTGCGAACGTTCCTCTGGGGGCACTTGGCGAAATCCCCTTGTATCTAGCCTTACCCGGTCATGCGGGGCTCTGATGGGGTGGACGTTTATTTCCCTAGCTACTCCTGGGAATGAATAAAACAAACCCAACAACCACGGACAGGGAACTCCCAGAAGGAGAAAATCTTCCATACCAAATTACAACAGAAGTAATGGAAACCGAAGCGATTTCAGAAGAATTAACTTCATCATTATCAACCTCTGGACAACACCCTAAGGCTAAACAACCTTTGGATGAAAGTGGCAGTTCCACAAACTCCAAGGAAGAAACTAGCCTGAAACGAGTTGCCTCAAAACTCAACAGGACTCACCTGGAGCCGCATGAGCGACTCTCAGGCTCCCAAAAGAGGAAATTGGCCATTCAAAAGGCTAAGGCTGAAGGAAAACCAATCAGACCCAGAGCTGAGAGAAAGACGGAGAAGAAAGGAGCTAACCGAACTCCAAATCAAACTTTCCAACTCAAACGGGGCGCCTCCAAAGTGACAGTCCGTCTTTAACGGAGGTCACGGTAAGAGGTCACCCCAAGAAGCCTTAAATTGGGTCTGATAGAGTAAGGGCCACTACATCTGCAGCGCAAGCGATAGAAATGGCAGTAGTGCCTAAAGAATTTCCCAGGGAAAAACTGACCAAGAAGCAAGCGAATCAGACTCAGGAAAAACTGATGGGAGAAATTTTGAAGAAAGGGGAGGGATCAGGACTACAGTTCAAGAAGAGACATTTCCATAACGGAGCCCTCTTTTTGATCTGTGCCAATGAGACCGCTAAAACCTGGCTCTTCGAAATAATACCCCAGCTACAACCATAGCAGGGAGCACAAATTATGGTAAGACTCTCTAGAAAGATCGTCCTGGATACCCAAACCCATGCAGAACATGGAAACAACAAAGGTACTTGCGTTCCTCAAAACCCAAAACCAAGGGCTCCAAACGGAACAGTGGCAAGTCATTCACAGGTTAAACCATTGTACTGGTAATTGACGACGACTCTTTTAAGGCTTAAGGAAACCTGCAGTTAAAACCCTATCTGGCCCTAACTCAGGCAATCTTCAGAGTGAAAAGGGAGAGGAAGGAAGAACCTTCAGATGCTCAGAATAGTGTAAGCTAATCTGAGACACTGCAAGACCGCCTCTGCAACCCTTGCACGTACCATTATCAGGGAGGACATAAACGTAGCCCTAATACAAGAACTCTGGATCTATAAAGGACATGTGATGGGGATCGGACAAGTTAATATGCAATATGCAATACCTAACGTGAAAACACTAGGGCTTGTATATACTTCCGAAATGGTCTAGACATCCTAAACTTACAATATTTCTGTTTTAGAGACCTAATAGCAGTCAGGATGGAAATAAACATAGCACGCAACAAGAGGCCACTTATTTTAACCTCTGTATACCATCCTTGTGACTCGCCCAGTCCTCCACTAACAGATGAGCTAAGGGATTTAGTAGATACCTGTCAGACCAAAAACTGGCAGGTACTCATTGCTGCTGACGCAAGTTCACACCATATAACATGGGGGAGCAAGGACAACAACAAAAGAAGTGAGTCTTTACTTGAATTCATTCTAACCACTAATCTGGAAATATTGAATCGTGAAAACGAACCTACTTTTGTAATCAGTAGACGGAGGTAGGTTATTGATATTACCCTTGGTTCTTTCTTCATTTCAAATCACATTGGCAAGTGGTACGTGTCTAGAGAGTCTTCGCTCTCAGATCATCGGCATATTCTCATGGAAATCAACAACGTCGATAAACCAAGAGATGTATACCGAGACCCACATAAAACCGATTAGTTTGGATACAGACTGGAGCTGGGGACAGTGTTAAAAACCGTTAAAATAACTCCTCATACTAAAAATGATATAGATGAAGTTGCAGAACAACAATGGGAGGCAATTATAACATCATATCACAATAACTGCTTGTTAAAGAACAGGAAAACTTTTAGGGAGATGAGCTGGTGAAACACCGAACTCGCCAAACTCAGAAGGAAAGCAGGTAAACTTTTTAATAAGGCTAAAACGACGAATGAGTGGATGCAATACACCGAAACACTCACAGAGTATAACAAAACTCTTAGAAAATCTAAGAGGGATTCATGGAGAACATTCTGTCAGGAAATTGAAAATACAACTAAAAAGAATGCAGACTCCACCGCATTCTAGCAAAAGATCCAATAAACCCTGTGGGGACTTTAAAAACCCAAACAGGGAAATTCACAAAAACTGGAATGGAGACATTAGAACTACTTCTTAAAACTCATTTCCCTGATTGCACAACAAACTCGAATGCATCAACAACACCATCAATATAAATAAAAATGTATAATTATTATAGATAATACAGCAATTATCGAAGTTACCCAGACCTTCGACAAGGTTTGGAATGTCAGTGTTACTCCATAAAATAAAAAATAATTTACCATAAACCTTGTTGTGCTGAAATCTTCTTTCGAGTAAAATATAGGGAATTTCACACCTTTTGTTCCTATCTGTGGTACCATAAGATAGCCCATTCTATATCTGCTCTACACACACAGTCGCTCTTCCTACAACAAGCGGCTTCACCCTAGCTACTTTGGCAGACGATATAGCAATCCTTGCCTCACATAAAAATTATGCCACTGCTTTTAGATTTTTACAACAAATCTGTTCATGTGGCAGTTAAAATGAAAAATGATCTGCTACCTCAAAAGGAAGAAGTAAAATACTCGTACCTTGGTATTTATGTAGACAAGCATCTAAATAACCATATAAGGCAAAAAAGATTGCAACTTAGCTTGATTTACAGAAAAATGTACTTTTTGATGTGCCGCTCTTCCCAATTATCTCTTGCGAACGATGTTAGTATATAAAATCATATTTAAACTTATATGATCATGGAATACAACTCTGAGGATCACTAAGTGACTATACAGCGCCTCCAATTAAAAGTACTCATATCATCTGTAAATACAAATTATGTTATCATATTATTATTGAGAAACGGTATCACTGGATATTTTCTGTCATCTTTCAAATGGTCAATTTAATATTGTCTTAAAAAGGATAGATTTTATTTACCTTGGATTTTAATAGGAAGCGAATTTACCGAAGATAAATAAATATACGTGCGTTTAGCATTTAAATGTACTGGCTTATTTCAAATAATTTATGAACCATGTCCTTAATAAACTTACCTGAAAATATCAGAATAACACTTGTCCATATTCAAATAAATATGTTGATAGTATTTACGAAACGTCGGATAAAAAAATTAAATATTCTAACATATTCATCGTCAATATCACGAAGTGACGTAACTCGAAAAAATTGTAAATTGAGATAAGTCACATATTATGTAAAAAAGTATGCTCTACAATTTCATGGAATTGCGTATCTCAATTCATTACATTTATTAAAATAGCACGTATCTAACCGATGTATCTGATAATTTCTCGAAGAGACGTAACTCTATAAAAAAAACTTTAAAACGCTCTCCTTAAAGCTGTGAAAATCGAGTTACGTCACTTCGTGATATTGACGACGAATATGCACATCTTGATATAAAATAAAAATAAGTATATGTCTAGTATTGAAAATGATGATTTTCTGTAGTTCCATAAAGAAATGGATTTTTTATCGAATAACTCTGAAACCGGTCATTCAATTTTAATTTTTAAAACGTTGGCAGGTTGATCTTTGAAATTGATAACATTTTTCCCATTTAGCTAACTCAGTGTCACCAACGATTTACGAGATAGCAATACATTATAATTAAAAAGTTGTCAACTTGTATTATATGCCATTCAGTTACTGTTAAATCCAGGTTGGCTATGAAAATTTCAGACATTCACTGTTCATAGTATTCACTAATATCGTTTTAATATTTATTAATATTTTTTGTAGGCTATGTGCTGCGAAATATCATTTTTATCATTTGAATTAGCGTTGTCAAATTATTTTACATAAAAAAATCTCAAAACTAGAGAAATTTGTAATCAGTTCTTTATAATCCAAAATTGGAGGGTACTCGTAATTATTAATTTTTGCCTCTATTTCAGCTGGCAGCATCTGTTTGCTGATATGGGAAGTTGCGAACATGTTAATTTTGCACATTGAACTATTAAAGGTAACAATAGAAAACATTATGCTGGAAAAAATTAGAAAACAACGAAGAAAACTACTTATTTTGTGGATCTCGTACCACCTTCAAGTCCTTAAGTAAGCACAATAGAGAGATTAATATCAATTTTCAGGATATAAAACGCTCTTCATTTGCGCTTTTAAGAATTAAGCTTTTTATAGAATCTTTTCAGGTTTCCAAGGACTCTTTTGAGTTTCCCAAAGGATTATTTCGAATTTTCCAAGAAATCTCTCGAGGATTCCATAAAATCTCTCGAGGTTTTCATAAAATCTCTCGAGGTTTCTATGAAATCACATGAGGTTTCCAAGAAATCTCTTAATATTACTAGGGGCTATATATCATGGGTCGTTAGCATAGAAACTAGGTAATTTTTTCTGTTGTAGAATTATAAGAGAGTTTAATTTTTTAACAAAATCTTGTGTGGGGATATTTTCTTTTATGGCTGCTCTGGTATTAGCATGTATAATGAATCAATTTGTAAACATGGTATGTATCTAATACAAAAAAATAGTTTTTCTAATTTTGAACAGATATTGATTATTTTGTAACAGGTGTATTTTATGATTCCATGTAATTTTTTAGAATAAACCCATTGGCGCATGTATTTACTTGCTAGGATGGTTAATGGCTCTGTATATATTATGTCATGCAGGACAAATAATACAGGATGGGGTAAGTATTTTCGCTTTTTTAATAATTTTATTCTTCGTATGTATTTTTTTAATTTATTTTTTAGACTGAATCCATTGGTATGGCTGCTTATAATTCAAATTGGTATTCTGTCGATATTGATACTCAAAAAGACGTGTTGTTTATTATAAGGCAATGTCAGAAACCTTCGTATTTGCAAGCATTGCCTCTGGGAGAGTTTAACCACTCACTGATGTTAATGGTAAATATCTATAAATATATATTAAAGCAACCTATATAAAATATATTACTTTTCCTACGACCACTTAGGAAAGTGCCCTATATCACACGCGTATGAATAAGAATTTACTTTCCACCCGAGTGAGAATATGTTACTTTCCGCAGTAGTTGTCACAAAATGTCAAACACCTAATTTCTATTTTCATCTGTGTAATGTCCATATTAATACTAAAATCGATATGATTGTTAAATTATTGAAATTGTTGTAAATTAGTTCCTAGATATTTATCTTTAACAATTATTATTAAAATAATTTTAAAATAATGTTTGCTCTTTATTCTGGTTAAATACATAACCGATTAGATCATTCAATTGACACAAGGGCTATTAGCTCAGATGGTTAGGACGTCGAACTTATCAACTTTGCTATTTTTCGATCGCGTTCAAATCCTGGCGGGGCAGAATTTTTTTTTTGTTTTTTTTTATTTTTTTTTTTTTTTTTTGTTTAGAAAATATGAAAATTGAATAAATACGATTATTGTTGATTATTTTTTTAAATACTTTTTAATTATTATAGTAATAATAACCTTGGTTATACATTGTTTTGATGATATTATTTTGTGGTCGTAGGAAAAATATTGTACATCACTTGTGTGAAAACTGATTTTCCACACTCGTAATGTAATATACTATTTATTTTCAGATATTAAAAACATCATATTCGTTTTTGACGTTCCTTACACAAACCACTTAAAAAAGAAGTTTTGTTATTGCAACTATTATATGGCATTAGTACTCCATAATCTACACAGAACACGAGACTAAAGCAGAAGATACTAGTAAAAAAAATATGTTGAAGATCAGTATAATTAAAAAAGATATCACCATTATTAAGACAGTTTTATTGCCAATGAATATGTTGTTAATGATTTAGGAGTCGGATCAATGTTTAAAATATTTTTGTTTCTGATATTTCAGTTTGTAAAATATGAGGTCATCATAAAGTAAGGGGTATAATTTAAAGTCTTATATAATTTTAATAAATCAAGGTAGTAGCAAAAAGTAAATGGAATCGAGTTGCTTTAATAATTTTTTTCCAATTTTTACATATAAAGTGAATTTTTTTGTAATCGCAGCAAGTATCAAAATAATCAACCAGTTGTATAATGTTGAGCATTATAAATGGTTTAGAAAAATTCATTGTAACAAATAAAAATAAACCTTTTTTTTATAATCAATAATATAAAGTATTAATAAAATCTTATATCAAAGAAAGAAACTCGTTACATAAAATAAGACATTTTATAACTGGTTTCACAAATACCTATTATTATTTTCATGAAAAATCATCGTGATTTAGAGAATTGTTTAAACATATAAGCAGATATTTTGTTAATCAATGGGCTGCAATATCGCCTGATCTTAAACTAGAGGATTACTGGCTATAGAGATATCTAAAGAAATTGTTATTCTTGTTGTTGTTTTTGTAGTTTTTGTTGTTATTGTTGTTATTATTGTTGTTGTTATTGTTGTTGTTATTGTTGTTGTTATTGTTGTTGTTATTGTTGTTGTTATTGTTGTTGTTATTGTTGTTGTTATTGTTGTTGTTATTGTTGTTGTTATTGTTGTTGTTATTGTTGTTGTTGTTGTTGTTGTTATTGTTGTTGTTATTGTTGTTGTTATTGTTGTTGTTATTGTTGTTGTTATTGTTGTTGTTATTGTTGTTGTTATTGTTGTGGTTATTGTTGTTATTGTTGTTATTGTTTTTTTTTTAATTTGGTGTCATCGGCATCGACTGCTATGGTCATTAGCCTCGTGTTCTGTGTAGGCTTTGTCACTTTTTCCCAACGCCACTTTAGGAACAACACTGTTAATTAGAACCCAACAGTGAATGGTCGAGTGGTGTTATTGTTCTTATTGTTGTTTCTGTCGTTGTTGCTAATGTTGTTGTTATTGTTGTCGTAGTCGTAGTTTTAGTCGTTGTCGTCGTCGTCGTCGTCGTCGTCGTCGTCGTCGTCGTCGTCGTCGTCGTGGTCGTTATCGTTGTCGTTGTCGTTGTCGTTGTCGTTGTCGTTGTCGTTGTCGTTGTCGTTGTCGTTGTCGTTGTCGTTGTCGTTGTCGTTGTCGTTGTCGTTGTCGTTGTCGTTGTCGTTGTCGTTGTCGTTGTCGTTGTCGTTGTCGTTGTCGTTGTCGTTGTCGTTGTCGTTGTCGTTGTCGTTGTCGTTGTCGTTGTCGTTGTCGTTGTCGTTGTCGTTGTCGTTGTCGTTGTCGTTGTCGTTGTCGTTGTCGTTGTCGTTGTCGTTGTCGTTGTCGTTGTCGTTGTCGTTGTCGTTGTCGTTGTCGTTGTCGTTGTCGTTGTCGTTGTCGTTGTCGTTGTCGTTGTCGTTGTCGTTGTCGTTGTCGTTGTCGTTGTCGTTGTCGTTGTCGTTGTCGTTGTCGTTGTCGTTGTCGTTGTCGTTGTCGTTGTCGTTGTCGTTGTCGTTGTCGTTGTCGTTGTCGTTGTCGTTGTCGTTGTCGTTGTCGTTGTCGTTGTCGTTGTCGTTGTCGTTGTCGTTGTCGTTGTCGTTGTCGTTGTCGTTGTCGTTGTCGTTGTCGTTGTCGTTGTCGTTGTCGTTGACGTTGTCGTTGACGTTGTCGTTGACGTTGTCGTTGACGTTGTCGTTGACGTTGTCGTTGACGTTGTCGTTGACGTTGTCGTTGACGTTGTCGTTGACGTTGTCGTTGACGTTGTCGTTGACGTTGTCGTTGACGTTGTCGTTGACGTTGTCGTTGACGTTGTCGTTGACGTTGTCGTTGACGTTGTCGTTGACGTTGTCGTTGACGTTGTCGTTGACGTTGTCGTTGACGTTGTCGTTGACGTTGTCGTTGACGTTGTCGTTGACGTTGTCGTTGACGTTGTCGTTGACGTTGTCGTTGACGTTGTCGTTGACGTTGTCGTTGACGTTGTCGTTGACGTTGTCGTTGACGTTGTCGTTGACGTTGTCGTTGACGTTGTCGTTGACGTTGTCGTTGACGTTGTCGTTGACGTTGTCGTTGACGTTGTCGTTGACGTTGTCGTTGACGTTGTCGTCGTTGTCGTCGTTGTCGTCGTTGTCGTCGTTGTCGTCGTTGTCGTCGTTGTCGTCGTTGTCGTCGTTGTCCTCGTTGTCGTCGTTGTCGTCGTTGTCGTCGTTGTCGTCGTTGTCGTCGTCGGTGTAATACATGACTTTACTTTCCATTAGAAAATTTAAAGATAGTAGCGCCCTCTATTTTACATTTCAAAGGCATCTCAGTATAACAAAAATATCATAATGTTTCATTAATTTCACATCGTTTTTGTGAGGAGACGAGACGAGAAAAAAAAATAGACGTTGAATTTTTCGTTTATTTTTTTTTTTAATTATCAAATACAAAATAAGTAAGAAAATATTTTTTATATAATTTTTTACGTAATACTGAAGACGAAGACTTCTTCTGAGGTGGCACCAGACTTCTTCTGAGGTGGCACCGAAGACTTCTTTTGAGGTGGCACCAAAGACTTCTGAGGTGGCACTAAATACTTTTTCTTTTTGTGGTAAAACCAACAAATTTTGAATTAGGTTGCTCTTGTAATCAACAAAACGCGTACGCTTATAATAACTGTAACGGGTTTCTGCAAAATTTTGACTTAGATTTGTCTTGCAGTAAAGAATATCTTACAAGATTATTTATGAATTAGATCAGAGCATTCGTTTTCAAAATTGTTTTAATTTGTAATTTTTTTTTAAAATGTAAGGAAGGCTTTCGTTATTATAAAAGTGTAAGATGACACTCGATATTTGTTGATGTTATTGTTTAAACAACGAAAAATTAATTAAGCCAGAAAAAATGCATTTTTTGCAATGATTTAATTTTTTTTGTATTCTTTAGGATATTTCGAATAAAAAAAGTCCTTACGCCCATCATCGTATTTTCCACCCTTTAATTGTTATGAATTTTTTAAAATCAAAAATTGGCGAAAATTCTAATTTTCTGTAATTAAATAATATACCTTAAAATTTAAAATGCTATAATTTTAAATTTTTTACCGAATATTCAAACTATAATAAACAAAGCTACCTAAATAAATTTTCAAAATTTTGTTTGTTGTTATGTTTTTTTTTTACGTTATAACAATATGCTTCCTACGCGCCACGATGCCACGAAAACGATTGTTCACTAGTATTTTCATTAAACAACAAATTAAATCGCACAGTCACGTTATCGTTTCGACGAAGAGTTGAATTTTTTAATTTTAAATATGTATCAGGTTTCGGACACTTCACTAACGCCTCGCCATGATCACAAAATAAACACTTTTTGTCGTCAGATAATTTAATTTTTTTTTGGAATTAAAGAGAACAAAATTAATACTCAGAAAATTACACAACTGCAAAGTAAACCAGTAGATGTAGAATCGAGCAAGACTGATTAATAACTGAAAAATAATTTTCAAAACGAGCCAAAAATTCTAAGGTAGGGTTGAATTTGCTCTTTGGAAGGTTGTAAAAATTGTTTATGACAGGAAAAAAAATAGAAGAAGAGTTAAACGTACAATTTCTTCAAAATACGAAATAAGTCCCTTTACCTATTTCTATTCAAGTGCAAAAGATTGAAAGTCTTAAAAAAATTTCATATTTATAGTACTTACTCTCAATATTAGAAAAAAAAATGTTTTTCCTTATTTTTGTTAAATGGAGAAAGGCTTGGATATTTTTGAAATCATAAAATTTTATAACCCCAGTAAGCCTCTATGTTCATTGTAACAGGTAGAAATTTTTCACGGATCACGACAAGTGCATTTGGCATTTTTATCGTATTGAAAAAAAAAAAGGTTGAAGAAGATTTTACTTCTCAGGCAGTATCTGACAATAATTTTTTCATGAATAAAAATAAATGTTAAAAATAAATGTTTCCTGTTAACTTTAATAAATAAAAAAGTTATTAAAAGTATCTAAAAAAGCATATTGTTATAACGTAAAAAACATAACAACAAACAAAATTTTGAAAATTTATTTAGGTAATTTTGTTTATTATAGTTTGAATATTCGGTAAAAACTTTAAAATTATAGCATTTTAAATTTTAAGGTATATTATTTAATTCAAGAAAATTAGAATTTCCGTTAATTTCGGATTTTAAAAAATTCATAACAATTAAAGGGTTAAAGATACGATGATGGGAGTAGGGACTTTTTTTATTCGAAATATTCTAAAGAATATAAAAAAAATTAATTCATTGCAAAAAATTAATTTAATTAATTTTTCATTGTTTAAACAGTAACATCAACAAATATCGAGTGTCACCTTACACTTTTATAATCAGGAAAGCCTTCCGGACATTTAAAAAAATACGAATTAAAACAATTTTGCAAACGAATGCGCCACTATGCCTTGCACTAAATAGAAGAATGTAAAACATATTTTGACTTATGGTAGTCTTCATTTAAAGAGGTGGCTAATTTAGTTACTTATAATACTTTAAAACTGAATATGTTGGTATTGTATATCTGCATTTCAAAAGTTCAAAAAGGAACAACAATATTTTTAGTTATGTTGATGTTGTATCAGGAAAATTATTTTCAGGAAAAATTCAATAGTAACACTTCTGTTATTTATAGAACATTCTTTTGATTTAGAGATATGTTGGTATTGTATTATCAAAGTTAGCATCTAGAACACTATAATAATAATAATAATAGACTTTACTTATATTTTTTTACAGTGAATAAATACATATAAAAAAGGTAAGTGAAGTTAAAAAAAAAAAAATACATAAATAAAGTAAAATTCGATAAGTGTTATCAAACACTTGCTTCGAAGAAAGAAAAATGTTTAAAAGGTGAATAAATACATCTAACTAAAGACTA